TCTTGCTAACTACAACGCATCCTGATTGGCTGCTGCCCGCAATAACTGCCACAATATACCATTTGAGGTTACTAGTGATCCTATCACGACTGGTCATATTTAACGTGGCCTCAATTAGGTACAACTACGAAAAAATAGATTCGAATTAAGCCTGGAGGCGGTTACTGACGACCGCTGCAGCGCGGACTGCAGCATGCAAGTGGGTGGTACAGTTAGTGACGTCACATCCAGCAAGGACCAATGAGGTTACATTGCGGTGAACGAGAACCAATCAGCGCGCGCCAAACTGGTATCCTCATGGCTTACGTCAAATTCTGTTCAATCCTTCGTCGTTATTGGCCATTCACTGGATTACGCACGTAATACAACTTAACGTATTTCTTATATCTCTTTAGATAAGCACTTTTCATTAGGCTTGAGATAAATCTAACATTGTATTCTGCTCATAGGTCAGAGTGCAGGGAGTACAAAGGGGTGGAGATAGGTCCGGGGTCGCCGCTTGAGACCCCGGACCTATCCCAGAGTACCAGAGGACCCCAGAGTACCAGAGGACCCCAGAGTACCCCCCTCAAACATGCCCTCGTGAGTAACACCTGGTTATGGTGACCAACGTTACAAATGCAACGTGATAGCAAAAGTGGCAGGTCACGCACAAAGATCCACGTTTTCTATGCATCGGTTGGTTATAGGTTAGGAGGGTGGGGTTGGGTTCCTCTGGTGTGGGTTAGGACGGTGGAATGTGGACGTTTAGGCAGCTGAAGAGAACATCCCACCTGACACAAGTAGACACCCCTCCCCCCCCGCCCCCAGATCTTATGGCGTCACATTTTCGGGGAGACTAAGCTAGTTAAACTTATCCAGGTCACCTTAACTACTGTGACTTAGAATTCCTGGAAACTCCTCTCTGAAATGGAACCTCCTTACTGGCGTAGAGTAAAGTATTCAACCACTTGGACTGGTCTGTACAGTGACGGTCTCGCTTTTTGCAGGTCGGCGTTCGATTCCCAAAGGTCCAAATGATTCCTCCTTTCCGTCCTATACCATCTCCATGTCCTCATATCCCTTCCAAGTAGTATATAGTCGTGCTGGCTTAGTGCTTTCTCCTTGCTGGAGTAGTGGTAACACCCTCGGACTACACCTAGTATGGTCTGGGTTCGAATTCTGGCCAGGGATTATTTACCGGGCACCAGTCCATAAGTGATCGCCTGTCTTCACTCAGAAGTAATAATTGGTTGTTAACTGACTGGCCGGTGATGTTCTGGGGCGAGAACTAGTGCATAAGGCTTACCGTGAACTAAGGGGAGGGAAAGATCTCAGCTCGCTAATCCATGTTGATTGATTGGTTGATGAAGATTAAGCCACCCAAGAGATGGCACGGTCATGAATAGCCCGTAGTAATCCATGTCAGAAGGCGTCTCTTCCTAACTAAACTAATATATATATATATATATATATATATATATATATATATATATATATATATATATATATATATATATATATATATATATATATATATATATATATATATAATATATATAATATATATATAATATATATATATATATATATATATATATATATATATATATATATATATATATATATATATATATATATATATATATATATATATAATATATATATATATATATATATATAATATATATATATATATATATATATATATATATATATATATATATATATATATATATATATATATATATATATATATATATATATATATATATATATATATATATGCGAACAAGCCTGAATGGTCCCCAGGACAATATGCAACTGAAAACTCACACCCCAGAAGTGACTCGAACCCATACTCCCAGGAGCAACGCAACTGGTATGTACAAGACGCCTTAATCCACTTGACCATCACGACCGGACAAAATGAGGTGATAGCCGAGGCTATTTGAACCACCCCACCGCCGGCACTCGGATAGTAATCTTGGGCATAGCATTTTACCAAATCACCTCATTCTTTGGGGCACACGTGAGGAACACAAATGCGAACAAGCCTGAATGGTCCCCAGGACAATATGCAACTGAAAACTCACACCCCAGAAGTGACTCGAACCCATACTCCCAGGAGCAACGCAACTGGTATGTACAAGACGTCAAGTGGATTAAGGCGTCTTGTACATACCAGTTGCGTTGTACAATATGCAACTGAAAACTCACACCCCAGAAGTGACTCGAACCCATACTCCCAGGAGCAACGCAACTGGTATGTACAAGACGTCAAGTGGATTAAGGCGTCTTGTACATACCAGTTGCGTTGCTCCTGGGAGTATGGGTTCGAGTCACTTCTGGGGTGTAAGTTTTCAGTTGCATATTGTCCTGGGGACCATTCAGGCTTGTTCGCATTTGTGTTCCTCACGTGTGCCCCAAAGAATGAGGTGATTTGGTAAAATGCTATGCCCAAGATTACTATCCGAGTGCCGGCGGTGGGGTGGTTCAAATAGCCTCGGCTATCACCTCATTTTGTCCGGTCGTGATGGTCAAGTGGATTAAGGCGTCTTGTACATACCAGTTGCGTTGCTCCTGGGAGTATGGGTTCGAGTCACTTCTGGGGTGTGAGTTTTCAGTTATATATATATATATATATAACTGAAAACTCACTGGGGACCTGGGGACCATTCAGGCTTGTTCGCATATATATATATATATATATATATATATATAATATATCCTTGTGATCAGTTTGAATACGACACGAGACAGTTAGCAGTGAGAGGTGACACATATACCAATTGAGGAACGATCTAATTTATATAATCCAGGACGAATAATTATAAAACAAAATTCACTACTTTTAATACAAGAAGAATGTTATTATAGTCCCTGTCAAAACTATGGGCACACTATGTTATATAGAATATTTTCTTAATTTTAGCGACATCAATGCTTAATGATTTCCGATATATGTTATAAGAAAATAATTACTTGGATTTTTTTCAAGGGTCGACCCGGTTTCAAGCTCTCCACCATCTTCGAGGGGGATTGCTATGGGAGCCGACCACGTTTTAATGTGAGAAATTGGGCTGACCACAATCCTACATGTTGGGCACTTACCTTTCAGCAATCACTGTGCAAAGTTTGAATGAGGCTGGCCCGAAGCATCTGGCCTCCAACCATGGACAAACATGCATTCTAGTATCTAGAATGTATGTAGTCTTTGCATTCAATAAGATATATATATATATATATATATATATATATATATATATATATATATATATATATATATATATATATATATATATATATATATATATATATATATAAAGAAGGAAGAGGTAGAAGACTGTAGCAGTGTAGACAGTAACTTCAGTGGGCCACCCAAGGGACTCTAATAAGGGTAACTGGCAGTGCAGAGAGAGAGATCAATCAATAAATTCTTGAGAGGTGAGCCAGACAGAGCAAGGCGACCAGGGTCAAGAATCTGAGGGCCCACGTGTGTGTGCCGGTCTGGACAATATTGGTAGGATCCTGTATGGTGGTAATGGACCCCAGGATAAGAGCTCGGCAATTTGCATTTGTAGTGAACTAGTTACGGATAGCTTTATTCTGTTTATCACGCTTCCAGCACCATCTAGTGGTCGGCGGTACACCCCACACTACTGCTGTGGGCGTCTGTACACCCCACACTCCTGCTGTGGGCGTCTGTACACCCCACACTCTTGCTGTGGGCGTCTGTACACCCCACACTCCTGCTGTGGGCGTCTGTACACCCCACACTCTTGCTGTGGGCGTCTGTACACCCCACACTCTTGCTGTGGGCGTCTGTACACCCCACACTCCTGCTGTGGGCGTCTGTACACCCCACACTCCTCCTGTGGGCGTTGGTGTGAGGTTAGACACAAGTACTTCCTATTAGAACAATAGGAATATTGTACTTGTTAAAGTATTAAGTAACGAGGCACACGCGTATATATAGCAAGAGATCTGTGGTTGTGTCCGCATTCCCCGTGGCGCAGTGGTAAAACACTCGCCCGGCGCTTTGGCCTGCGTTCGTATCCTGGCCGGGGAGGATTGACTGGGCGCCAATTCTTAACCAGAATTAACCGCACAGCCTCTGTTCACGCAGCAGTGAATGGGTACCCGATTTGGCGGGTCGTATTCCGGGGAAAAATTAGGATTAAGGACCTGCCCGAAACGCTATGTGTGCTAGTGGCTTTACAAGAATGTAAGAACTATTGTATATATATATATATATATATATATAAATATAATTAAATTAGGAATTAAAAAAAATAAAATATAAGGGACTCATTACCAAGCTATGGGTTGTTGACAAGTGGCATATGAATCACGTTGAATGTGTATTGTACCAACAAGGGCCACCCTGACTCTTCCTGGTGTAAATTAACATATATATTGGCACGACAGACACGCCGTTGTAAAAGAAGTTAGAGACGTTCAAACTTGAACGTAGCATATATTACCGGTCAAACCAAACATCAACTGTTGCTTGTATATGATTTGTCATATAATGTAGATTTTCTAAGTTTATAGGAGATGTGTGATGAGACGCTGAGAAAGGCGGGGTAGGTATATCAGGTTGAGTACTACTATAAGAGTACGTTCATTCATTAAACGTGTGCGCCCATCGATCCTCACTTGTCAATGACGTCATTCCTGGAGATTCCCACCGCCTCATCAAAATGAAAAGTTACGAAACATAGAAGTAGGGGAGGATTTTTTCGCCTTTGTGGGAACCGATCTCTGGAAAGAACTGGTACAGGGTTGAAAATTGTCAAAATACGGGGTTGTGAGGCGTTTGTGGGGAAAAGAGGAGGAAGAAGTGGATGCGGCCGAGGATGAATGTGGCAAGAGAAGAGACTGGTGACGAGAAGGGATGAGTCAAGGCTCATGATTGGCTGAGCGCCCTCGCCTCTCGGTCAATGGCAGGCCTCGGTTCCAATAATGATGAATGTATCTCGCCAGACTCTTAAACGCTCAGCTCGCCTCTTGTAGGAAAAATATTATCTCCTCACTCTGGGTATTTAGCGCCCCATAACCCACACGGTAATATTCTTCGCGGGTCACAGGAGGGTCAAAATTAGCCAGGGAAGGCGTGAGGTGTAGGCGAGGGCCAGAAAATGGAAGTAGAGCGAGCCGTCTGCTGGGTAGGGACGTGAGGATCAATAATGGAACGCATCTCAGTAAGGCTGTGAATATCCAGAGTGCACAGCAAGAGGAGAAATCTTTGCAAATCCCACTAATGTATTGGCCCTCCGTGGCGTATTTCGGGGGTTATGGCTCCCTTATAGTGTGTACATTATAGTGATAAGTGTAGCGAGATGGGCGGTGGAGTGGTATAGCAGGAAACATGGACCTGCCTAGCGGAGCTGGGCTCGTGATTCTTTCGTGCGCGTGAAATGAAACGGGATTTTCGTAAGTTTCCTCCTTATTTGAACCTTTTCGACGATGAGTGGACGACCCAGGACTACAAGCTTCGCTGAAGGGAACAAAGGACCGCCTTCAGTTTCCTTCCCGGGCATGAAAATAAGCAGTAAGTAGAGGGAGGATACCGTGATGGCGGGCACCCATCGTCCCCCACTAGTCTACACTTCTTCCTGGCGGGTAGTTGCCCTCTCCACCTGCCTCACGCCCTCCCTGGCGGGGTGGTGGAGGGGGCTGTGGGCGCCAGGGAGGGCGGGGATGGGCGTGCGGGCGGGGGTATGGGCGGCACAGGGCGTGGCGGGGGTGGGGGGAGGGGGGGGGGACGGCAGAAAACAGCTGATGGGGGTGGGTGGCCCCAGCACCCATGACCCCCTCCCCCAGCACCCCCCACCTGGGGCCCACACCCCCACCCTCGGGTCCAACATGAGTACTCTGGGGGTCTGGAAGCCAGGGCCTCCATGTTGCCTTTTTTTTTTTTTTTTGATCTTCCACCTTTCTGTCTTGTCCAAAGAATGCTGAAAATGACCATAGGCCTAATGTAATATCCTTCAAGAAATATTCCTTGGCTATATTTTCTTACTGCAGGTAATGTTAGCTTTTTAGTTTAGGGCCGTTGTGGTTGGGCAATCAGTAGATCCGGGGATGGATAGATTTGGGATTAAAGGGTCACCAAAGCAGGTCAGGGGATTGGTGGGGTGGGATGAATGTGTTGCCAGACAAGGGGTGGGGGCGGGGGGGGGGGGCCGGGGATTGAGGAATGAGAGGATTGGGTCTCAAAGGATTGGTGGACAAGGATGGGTGCAGGTGGAAGGGCTAGGGGGGGGGGACATGGGACAGGAGGGTTAGGATACCAGGGGGGGGGGTTAGGAGACCAAGGTGAGGGGGGGGGGATCCAGCTGGTCAAGAGGACTGGGGATGGGGCTGTGGTATAGAGGGGTTGGGAGACAAGAGGCTTAATCTACTTGAGAGGTCATGGGTTTGAGGATCGGTGTGTATTTAGCTTTTTTTATTTTTTTTTTATTTTCCAGATGACATCAAATTTGTTTGAGGCCTGTCCTCGTTTACGTAATGTTTGGTGATGGGGCTACATAGTCTTGGGCCTGAGGTGAGAGTTTATTAGGCAGCTGAGGTAGCTTTGGTTAACCAGGAAAATGGTTTTGTATTTATGTACTGTAGAGCCAGCCGTGTGTGGCGCGACTTTCTGAAATGTACGCCATGATGCACCCTAAGCTAGGGAGTATGGTTGTCCTATGAGGGTGCTGCACTTGTAAGGTATAATATTTATGAAAGGTTAAATGTTACCCATGTAAGGGGCAGTAGCTTTAAACTCGACAAGCCACAGTGAAGGTGCAGAAAACAGGCGATTCTTTTCCACCCATGGGGTTATAAACCCACGTAACTGCCTACCCACCTAAGCTATTACTACTAAGGCATTACAGTACTGTATTTCATTTTAAAATTATAATAGAAAATCCTTGGGTACCTGGAGTATACCTGGAGAGGGTTGTGGGAGTTGTTCTGCTCCCCGAGCCCAGCCCAAGGCCAGGCTCGACTTGTGATAACTTGGTCCAACAGTCACAATGGGGGATCTTTGACAAGTTGTTGGCTTCCTGTCCCAGTTGAGATGGTGACCCATGGATATATTCAGGCAAATGACCAATATTATATGAGCTAAGCAGTTGGGTTAGGGTTCATTATTCTTGAAATACTTCATATTTATGGGTTGGTCAGTTACTGTATAGCTGGACCATTTAACCCTCAGTATGAAGAATTTTGCTTGTAACTACATTAATGTCTTGAAAGGATATTTATGGTGTTGCAGACAGTAAGTCACAATGTGGTTGAAAATGATCACCATTCCACATATCTGAAAATAAAGAAATTTTTTGACATTTCGGTTCATTCTAGACCATTATACGACTTGATAATGGTCCTGGATGGACCAAAATGTTGTCAATTCCATTATTGTCAAATTTGTTGAGTTAGCCATCTGTGCTGTTCATACTTTGCCATCTAGAATCATCCCGAGGCCTGGAAAGGGCAAGTGCATGCAAGTTATACTTATCATGTTTACATAGCTAATAGTTGATAGTATAGGGAACCAAAAAATTATGATATTTTGTTAGAAAACTACTGTATTATGTGTATGGTTAGGTGGTGTTTCTATAGGCTAGCCTGACAAAGGGACCTGCCAGCCAAGTGGACAGTGCTTGGGATTCGTAGTCCTGAGGTTCCGGGCTTAATCCCCAGTGGAGGCGGAAACAAATGGGCAGAGTTTCTTTCACCCTGATGCCCCTGTTCATCTAGCAGTAAATAGATACCTGGGAGTTAGCTGCTACGGGCTGCTTCCTGGGGGGTGTGTAACAAAGAAGAGGCCTGGTCGAGGACCGGGCACGGGGACACTAAGCCCTGAAATCATCTCAAGATAACCTCAAGAAGAAGATAGCCTGATGTGCCTGTAGTTGGTAGCTATATATATTACTGTGCCTCCAATGAGAAGATTTACCTCTTGTGCTTATGGCTGGATGGGTACGATCAAGTCATACACAGGTTGTTTCTAATTTACCAAAATATATTATTAAGTGCAGGCTATTTTAGCTTGGGTTTGATTAGGTTAGGTAGGTTTTTAATATCTGTTGAATTATCTTGGGTATGATGTGACAAAGTCCAACTGGATGGTTAATGGTAATGTGCATGGGATGGGAATGCAGTAACTGGTAATGCCCCTGTAGAGCATCTACCTGTTGTAATAGAACTTCTTCCCCATGAACCCATTTCATGCACTATTGAAACTAAACCAGTGTGGAGTTACTCTACACTATGTACTGTGCTGTATACATCTTTTATCAAGATAGTCTTGTTGAAATACTGTTTAATACTTACTATAGGTCTAACATTATTACGGCATTCTCGGTGATGGACGTAATTATTTTTTATCAAAAGGGGCAACACTTCTTCATATACTGTACCTTTCATATTGAAACATATTGTAGTACAGTACTGTATATTCGAAGAGTTAGTCTATGCACGGACATTTGGAGAGGCTTCTTTTAATGCATGCAATAATGTAATGTTTTTTAATTTAAAGTGACCGAGGAGCTTGCTAGGCATAGGTAAGTGTGTTTTTGTCTACCTAGGCTACTACTTCAGTTTGGTGCCTAGAGTAAGTTGAAAATTAAATAATTACGTGCATAATTCTACATCTGCGTGAAAACAGAAAGCACTAATAAGTTATTAAATATAACACCTTACCCCAGCTCAAAATCCTCAGGCATATTCGAGGGACATTTGACAAGCCACCGGATTCCTGTCCCCATCATGGCCACTAGAGATGGTGGCCCTCAGGTAAATTCAGGTAAATTTAATGATAAAAAAAAATGTCATATTTTCATGTGAAGCATTCACAGTCAGGTAAAGCCAGAAGTTTGAATTTTTATTCACACTTTTTTCAGATATATTTTCATATTGTATATAGAGTACTGTATATATTATTGTAGTACAGTATGCCAGAAGAGTTAGGGCATTCTGGGGCTTTGTTCATCCAGTGTTGTAAGTAGTGAGGTATTTTTTCAGTTGCCGGCAGCTGAGGAGCTCGTTAGGCTTAATTAAATGGGATTTTGTTAACATAGGGTCACACTTTATTTTGGCAGATTGTTGCACACACTATCTGCCGAAATAAAGTTTGAAAATGTAAAGATTGAAAATTAAATTATTAATACTGTACACTGTATTACAACCAAGAAAGATTAGGTCTCTGCGATCGAGTTAGGTCACGTCAAGTTATTGCTGGTTTTTCTGTGTTGTACACTTTTTAAATTTTACTGTTTTGAGGCACTATCCTAGATTTATTTTTAGATGGGATGAATTATAAGTATCGGCTAGTATTGCCTTGACATGGTTTCTAGGATCATTCTCATCTCGGCTCGATCTCTGACCTGGCCTCTTGGTTTGCATTATGGTCACACAGGCTGATAGACACTGCTGCTCACAGTCTGATGTGTAAATTACAGCCCGGTGATCAAGTACCCTTTAGGGTGTTTTATCAAGTTCACTTTCTGACTGACGGACACTCTTGAGGTAAGCTGAACCTCTTCCTGTGTGGGACCATACAAATTGATCTTTTCCTATAATCTTTTCAATACTATCTTATGCTTTGCAAGTTTGGCTACATACAACCTGCAAGTACTAAAGCCAAGGGTATACATGAGTGCATTATTTGCAAGCACAGAATGAAGAAACATGAAGTGAAACAGGAAATGAAGCACTGGGAGTGAAGTCGTGCTGTGTACCGTGGGCTACTTTGTTGATTATTACTCACCTCCGAAGTACTGAGTGTGTAATACAGTGTGTTACTGTGTAAATAGTGTGTGAAACTGTACATATTGTAATTTTAGTGAAATTTTAACAGGTAATATTGCGACAATAAACATTTATTGTGGACACATTACTGACACATGTATCACAGTTCCATGGAACATTATGAACGTTCTACTGTATACATATTGTAAAGGACACAAATATGCATCATATATGATAAAAAAACAAATAAAACCGCATTGGTAATATGTAAAACAAATAATTGAAAATATATTTGTGGCAACACCCGGTGCTTGAATGGCCTGCGCGACCGTGTCTGGGCGATTCACGCACGGGCGACCAGGCCCTGATGACGTCACAGCGCACCTTGTCCATGTACCCACAGCCAAAGTAAGTGGAATTTGGTATTTATTTTTACATAGACATGTTCAGGGTAGGGAATTTATCATTTTACGAAGAAAAAATAATTTTTTGGGAACACTTTTATTTCATGCGCATCGGGGGAATTTCACAATAAACTCTGCGAAGCACGGTGGTTAAGGGGCTGGTTTGAAAATTTTTAAACTTTCCTCAAACTCATATATTTTGTGCATAATTTACATGGTAAATGCTTCAACTTTTCATATAATAGATCAATATCATTTCATGAACAGGGAAAAAAAATGTTGTTTTAAAAATTGAAACTTTCACAATTTCAAATTATGCCAACGAATTTAATAATTCACAAATTTTTATTTTATTCATTATGGGCTCAGAATGGCATGTAATGTTCTTTTTCTATTATAGAAAATT